GAGGGAGAGGGAGGACTGGAGAGAGGGAGGACTGGAGAGAGGGAGAGGGAGGGAGAGGACTAGAGAGAGAGAGAGAAGACTGTCTAGAAGTCCAACATGCTATCCATTGCGCCACAAAGCCTGCTTAATTGGCTTTTTTGCTTTGGCAACACTGATTGTACCCATCGGTCATGCTAATAAAGCCCCTTGAGAAAGGACTGGAGAGAGACACGGAGAGAGAGGCTACATGTCAGAGCAGAAAGTCTGGGGCAGCATGCAGTCTAATTCAGGGTTTAACCCCATAGAGGCGATCCTCTACCTTTGACCTGCTCCCCTACAGCTGCAGCCATGTTCCAACGCTCCCCCAGCTCCACTCCACACAAAGACCGAAAACTGCAAGATACCCTCGGGGCTCTGACACCTCCACCCCAGCGGAGATGTCAGTGGATTTCAGAATCACAGGGCACAGATGGAAACCACCTGTTCGCCATATACAGTACAAACTGAGAACACGGGGCATGACTTTGTGCAAAAGGTGGTGTGAGCGTGGAACAAGCTGCCCAGCCGCATTGTAGAAGAAAATACCCTGGCGCCTCTCAAGAAACGACTGGATGAGATCTTCTAGGCAGGACAGGAGGAAAGTCTTTAGACAAAGAGTGGTGGGAGGGTGGAACCAGTTGCCCTTCCGTGTTGGAGAAGCAAACACCCTGGCAACTCTCAAGAATCGACTGGATGAGGTCCTCCAGGCAGGACGAGAGGACTTCTTTACATTAAGAGAATGAGAATGTCTGAAGGAGATCCTCAGATTGAACGGCTGAATGAGATCAAGAGATGGGCCAGATGGCCTTTTGTGACTTGTAAGTGTCCTAGAGAGAGAGGGAGGGCGAGAGTGTGGGCTGGCCACTATAGCCAAGGGCCCAAGAGAGGAAGGAGAGATGGAGGGAGCGAGGAATGGCACCCTTTCATTCCGATTCCTTCTGCTCTGCTGCAGCACAACAGATTCTCCGGAGAGAGAGAGAGAGAGAGCACCGGTGCACCGGAGAGGAACTGACAACGCCTCAGGCCCGATAGTTCAGACACACACAGAAATGGAGGACAGAGCCCCTTCCTCCCCTCTCTCTGTCTTCCTGCACCTCGTCTTCACACGCACTCGTGGGGCGTCGCTGTGAGCCCCTGGAAGAGCCGTGACTTCGTGGGGATGCCTCTGGGCTAGGCGGGGTTCCTGTCTCCTGGGGTAGAGTCCCCCAACTCCGGCCCCGCGATGTTGCAGTTCCCGAAGCAGCCTGCGCACTCCTGCGCTGCAGCATAACCGCACCCTTCCAGCAACACAGCCTACCTGTCCTTGGGCCTCTAGTAACACCTGCAAAAGGAAAAGCTGTTTCCTGTGTCCCACAGCTGGCAGCTTGTTCCAAACACCTCCACCCCCCAACTCTTGGTGTAAAGGAGCGCGATCATTCCTATTTCTTTATTTCCGCTTGTGTTCTTGGATCCTTGCTTCTCTTGATCCCGAATCTGTCCTCTGGGTCGACTTACAGTAGTCAGTAACCTTTCAGGATTGGAAAAGCCTGAATCAAGTCTCATCATAATCTCCTGTGTTCTGAACTAAAGAGGTTCAGAGGAGCTTACAAAGGTACATCATGCACTGAACCCTGTCTGCACTCCTGCCCAGAGCAACACAGCACTGTCTAATGTCCCTTTGTGTCACTGCAGTATTCTGTGATAAAATCACAGTAAAGAGCAGTGAAATAAGGGTAAAAGCACTGTTAAGGGTTGTAAACCACAGTAGGTCAGTCTAAAAACACAGCAAAGACCGAATTAAACACAGTAAAGCACTGGGAGATCAGGGTAAAAGCACAACAAGGTGCAGTAAAGCACAATGATTTTAGGGTAAAAGTACAGTACATCCAAGTGAAATCAGGGTAAACGCAGTGCAGTAAAGCCCAGTGAGATCAGGGTTAACACACAGAATAGTGCAGTACAGCCCAGTAAGATCAGGGTATAAACACAGTACAGTGCAGTACAACCCAGTGAGATCAGGGTAAAAACACCGAACAGTGCAGTACAGCCCAGTGAGATTAGGGTATAAACACAGTACAGTGCAGTACAGCGCAGTGAGATTAGGGTAAAAGCGCAGTACAGCCCAGTGAGATCAGGGTAAAAGTACAGAACAGTGCAGTACAGCCCAGTGAGATCAGGGTGAAAGTGCAGTACAGTGCAGTACAGCCCAGTGAGATCAGGGTATAAACACAGTAGAGTGCAGTACAGCCCAGTGACATCAGGGTAAAAGCACAGAACAGTGCAGTACCCGCCTAGTGAGATCAGGGTAAAAGCACAGTACAGCCCAGTACAACCCAGTGAGATCAGGGTAAAAGTACAGAACAGTACAGTACAACCCAGTGAGATCAGGGTAAAAGTACAGAACAGTACAGTACAGCCCAGTGAGATCAGGGTAAAAGTGCAGTACAGTGCAGTACAGCCCAGTGAGATCAGGGTAAACACACAGAATACTGCAGTACAGCCCAGTGAGATCAGGGTAAAAGTGCAGAACAGTGCAGTACAGCCCAGTGAGATCAGGGTAAAAGTGCAGAACAGGGTAGTACAGCCTTGTGAGATCAGGGTAAACACACAGAACACTGCAGTACAGCCCAGTGAGATCAGGGTAAAAGTGCAGTACAGTGCAGTACAGCCCAGTGAGATCAGGGTAAAAGTGCAGAGCAGTCCAGTACAGCCCAGTGAGTCCTCTGACCCCTCCTGCTCGTCTGTGAGCCCTGTCGGTGTGACGTGTCCACTGCCGCCACCTTGATTCTCCGAAAACACAAACCTGCTCTCAGCTAATCCTCTGACCTCCTGCCCCTAATCCCCGAGCCCCTCCCCCAGCTCCCCAGCACCCCGCCCTCTCCTCCACAAATCTCTTTCTTCTTGTTCTTTGATAATTAATCTGGACTCTGTCCAGACCTGCAATCCTGGATTAATTTTTTTGTTCTTGTTTGGCAGAGATGGGGGGGTGGGGGTGTAGAAAGCATGCTGTTTTGTGTGTGTTTGTCGAGTGTGTATTTACAGTGTGTTTGTTGTATGCGTATGTGTGTTGGGAGTATGTTTTGTGTGGTTGCATGTTGTGAATGTGTAGGCTGTATGAGTAGATTGTGTGTATGTTGCGTTGTGTGTGTTTGTTGTGCGTGTGTGTATGTGCACACACTGGTTAGAAAAGATCCAGTCTGCTGGAAACAGATGGGCAGTGAAAACAGTGTTGTGATAGTGAGGCTGGGTTCCCCGAAATCTGTCACCAAACCTGCAGGTTTTCATTCCAGCTCAGCTTGTTGCGTCTTAGAATCCTTAAGTGAACTAACGAGCTACCTGACTGGGAACTGTGAAGTTGTTCTTTTCTGCTAGGGAGCTGGAGAGCTCGGGTTTTTTACAACACTATTGTTCAAGGCTGAGCCCAACATGCCGAGGAACTGAAAACAATCCAAGAGTCCAGATTAGCCCTTTAATTAGGTCAGTTCCGGGTTTAATTATGTAAATGAGATGTGTGGAACTGCAGGACCCATGTACTATAGCAGCACACTAAGGGGGCACTACCGGCGCTGCTGTCCATCAGAGGGCGCAGTGTGCTGTGTGGGGAGCGTTGCCTCAACGAAGAGCTGAGGGGTGGGCCTTTATGTCCAACCTCAAGGAAGAGCCCCACTGCTGAGAGGCCCTGTTGCGTCAATGGGCATGGTGCTGGGACAGGCTTCCTGCTGTTCATCTGTGATGGGTGCACACTGCCCTGTGCTTGTGTCTATGCACGAGGGTGTGTGTGTATATGTCTGTGCTTGTGTCTATGCACAAGTAGGTGTGCGTGTCTGCCTGTACTTGTGTCCATGTGTGTCTGCCTATGCTTGTGTCTATCCACAAGAGAGTGTGCCTGCACGCCTGTGGTTGTGTCTATCCACAAGAGTGTGTGCCTGCATGCCTGTGGTTGTGTCTATGCACAAGGGTGTGTGCCTGTACGCCTGTTCTTGTGCCCATGAACAAGAGTGTGTGCCTGTACGCCTGTGCTTGTTCCCATGCACAAGGGTGTGTGCCTGCACGCCTGTGCTTGTTCCCATGCACAAGGGTGTGTGCCTGCACGTCTGTGCTTGGGTCTATGCACAAGTGTGTGCGTGCATTCATCCGTTTGAGTGTTCTGATATATTACTGTCAAATCCTATTCATCATGAGAGAAAATGTCCCACAAAGACAGCACCTCCTGCCAGACTGGTGTCCCCACAGTGGAAACAACTCCTATATAAACCAACCAGCATGTCTTCCCTCTTAAGGGGTATGTGTGTGTGAGTTTGGGACAGGAAGTGATGACAGAGTGAGAGTGTGTGTGTGGGGGGGACTAGGCCAGCTGGTGCCCATCCCCTCCCCCTCAGATCTGTCCAGAAGTTTGGGTTGAGCAGAGCGCGGGGTGAGGGGGAGGCAGTGACCAGGCGGGCTCCAGATTACAGAGGATTACAGCTTTAGCGGGTCTGTCCTGGCATGCGGTCAGTGGCGTGCTTGGACTCCACAGGGGGTGGGGGTGGATGGAGGAAACAGTGGGGGGCTCCAAGTGGCTCCAGCGGTGCAGGATGGACTCCAGACTCCAGGGATTGAAGGTTCAAGGCTGAGATTCCCCAGGGGAGTGTGTCGTAGGAGGGTGAATGGTCCTGTGCACACTGGTGGGACACAAGCAGTTTCTCTATCAGAGCAGGCCTGGGACAGTAGACTGCTCCAGTTAGGCCATTAATTTGTTTGGTTAGCCAGTTAAGAGACCCAACAACCCTCAACCCGTCATGCACATGATGCTGTAGACTGTGGATGACTACAAGCCCACCCACCAGGACCAGAGCTGGACACCCACTGCAGCATAGCGCCCCCTAGTGCCTGCTAGCTTTGCGTATCGTAGTCATCATAAAGCTGTCATGAATCATGACATGGGGTGTGCTCTCATCTCTCCACAGCCCTCATCCTGGTCTTCTACCTGGTCTTCTACACCTTCCTGACTGGCCTGTTCTGCCTCACCATGTGGGTGTTGCTGCAGACTGTGGACGACTACAAGCCCACCTACCAGGACCGGCTGGCCACCCCAGGTACACTGCTGCCCTAAGCACTGATGAGTGCCTGGAGAAGTAACCTTCCTGAGAAGGTCACTGCTGTAGAATAGTGCACTGATGGACACTGCTGTAGAACAGTGCACTGACGGACACTGCTGTAGACCAGTGCACTGACGGACACTGGTGTAGACCAGTACACTGACAGACACTGGTGTAGAACAGTGCACTGAAGGACACTGCTGTAGACCAGTACACTGACAGACACTGGTGTATAATAGTATACTAACTGACACTGATGTAGAACAGTACACTGACAGACATTGGTATAGAATAGTGCACTAATTGATACTGGTGTAGAATACTGCATACAGTATACATCAGTGTGTCTAGTCTTGTACACTGATACTGTATGTTTGAATCCTGATAGATCAGTGTGTCGAGAGTCTTGCACCCTAATACATGTTTGTATCCTGATAGATCAGTGTGTCTGGAGTCTTGTCACTGATATGCAGAGTGACAAGCTGATGGAAGAGTGATCTTGCAGCATATGCTCTGACTCGAGCTGTCCCTCTGTGCCTTCTGTACAGGACTGATGATCCGGCCCAAGTGTGAGGCCCTGGAGATCGACTATGATATTGCCAAAACGGAGAGCTGGGATGATTACATCACTGCACTGGACAGCTTCCTTGCCCGTGAGTCCTGGTGTGGGGAGCGAAGAAGAGAGTGAGAGTGTGTGTGTGTGTGCTTCTGGAGGGTGAGTAGAGAGTGAGAGCGAGGGTGTACTCATCTGGGGAGTGAGAGTGAGAGCGAGGGTGTGCTCCTCTGGAGAGTGAGTAGAGAGTGAGAGTGTGTGTGTGCTTTTGGGGAGTGAGTAGGGAGTGAGGGTGAGGGTGTGTTCCTCTGGGGAGTGAGTAGAGAGTGAGAGTGTGTGTGTG